TGAGACAGGGTCTTGCTATGCAGTTCAGACTGGCCTTGAACTCACTTTGTAGCCCAGGCTGGCCTCGAACTCGCAATGATCCTCCTGCCTCAGCCTCCCGAGTGCTGGGGTTACAGGCGTGCACTACCATGCCTGGCTTTGTCTGAGTTCTTATCAGCAGTTTCTGCTGTTTCACTTTGGTCATCCAACTGTAAGGGGCAGGTTTGCCCAGATGGAGACATGCTTTTTAACTTCTGTAGGCTGAGTCTCCTTCCAGATGTGGAGCTGAATGGCGAAGGAGCCAGAGCCCCATTCTGTGTGAAGCTTTCTTGTCCTCTTGCTAAGGGCCCGGCACAGCAGGAACCTGGCCATAGTCACGGGCCAGGACACACGTCTTGCAGCTCTTAAGAAAGGGGTCTGCCAGACACAGTGACTGGTCAGCTTATTTGGGGCCTTGAAGTCTGCATCCAGATAATGAAAATTCTCTTGCCTGAGGCCAATTACACTCCTGATGTTCTTTGAAAGTCCTGGTTCTGCCATCTTGTGATTATCCAAGAGTTGGAGTAGGACTCAGCATCCATGTTGCTGGACGCAAGAGATTTTCAACAGTGTGAATGCTTCCATGTCTCAAAAAAATGGGTGGGTGTGGGGCGCATGCCTATAGTCTCAACACTTGGGAGGCTGAGGCAGGAGGATCCTAGCAAGTTCAAGGCCAGCCTGGGCTATATAGTGAGATGCAGCCCAGCCTGCACTGCATACCTAGACCCACCTCAAAAGCAAACAAAAAAACCTGGCAGTGAGATAAAATTTTAGAGGGTTTTACATAATCTTTCTGTTGAGTTTATGGAAAGAGTCCTTGGAAACGGAAGGCAGATTAGTAATAGAATTGCAGCCAGACAATCCAGCTTTTATATAATGGTTTCTACTCAGTATAGATCACCTAAACTGGGGCATTTCTCAAGCTTGCCTGTCCCCTGCCTCCACCTATTGTTCAAACAGATTGTCATGTAGAAAAGCTAAAGTGCAAGGCAGCTAGCATCAGAGTTGCTCTGTTAAAGTAAGAGATACCGGGACTGTCCCTTTTGTTCCTGGCGGTTTCATGACCCGGAGCTGGCCCTGATTGCTCTTTGGTCTCGTATAGATGGAGAAACTGAGCCTAGAGGTAGGCCTTGTCTAAGAGTTAGGGTCAGAGTTAAGCCAGAATCTGATTTCCTTTCCTGAGCCCTGCTCTAGCGCTCATTTTACTTTCTTCTGTTGAATTCATTATAAAACTTAAAACCTTAACTCTTTGAATTCTTTTAATATTACAATGCAAAACAATGAAAAAAAAAAAAGCTAAAGTTTTTTTGCCTGTAAGAGGAAAACTTTTGAGCATCTCCCATCCTCAAACAATCTTTTCTTCCTTCCAGACTTTGGTTGCTTCCCCTGCTCCCCCTTGGGGTCCTTAACACCTCTGTCAGTCCATATTGTCTTTAAAGATAGAGGTGTCAGAGCAGTCACCTCAGCATTTCTGCTGTCTGAGAACCAACAACTGACCGGCATCTGACTATGTGTTGCAGGAGTGTGGAGCTGATTGTGCCAAGTTCCAGAAGAGCGAGCTAGAGTTCAAGTTTAATCGGAAAGCCTTGGAGAGGCCTTATACTTCGAAGCATTCCTGGGGGAAGACGTACGGGGAGCATAAGCGGCACCTGGAATTCAGCCATGAGCAGTACAAGGAGTTGCAGCAATATGCCCAGGAGGTTGGCATCTTCTTCACTGCCTCAGGCATGGATGAGGTGAGCGCTCTGTCACTCTGTCGTTTGCCACCTTAGCGGACTTTGAGGACAGCAGGCAGCTTGGTAGCTTTGCCTGAGAGCCAGTTCCAGCCCCTACTCACTTTTTTCTGGACCCAACTAAGTGAGCAGCCAACAGATGCCGAGGCCCAGGGCAGTTTATGAACTGAGTTATGTCTAGGAGTAGGGCAGCCACACTGGACCCCTGGGACCCAAGCTTGTGGGCCAGGTGTCCCCAGTGGAAAGTGGCCTGGATTAGGAACTAGGACGCCTGGCCAACCAGCCCTCCTCACTGGCTTGGGTGGGGTGGCACTGGCATCATTCAGAGGGAGTGGCTCACAGTCATGGGTGGTTTCTGGCCCAGCCACACTGACATCCTGGAAGAGTCCACCCCGTGCCAGATGTCCGGTCCTGTCTGCATCGTGACTTCCTCCTTCTAATCCCTTCATGTGCTCTCTTTCAAATCTGGCACAATGTAGTTGTGTAATACTCAGTACAAAAGCTTAGAAAATAGGAGAGAGAAAAACTGATTCATAATCCCTATATACCAACTCTTTTTCTCTCGCTATGCCAACTTTTTTGATCGATTTCCGCCTAAAGTTCTTTTATGTGTGTTTTATTGCCTGCTTGCCGTATTTGCCTGGCTTGTAACATTTAGTTTCATGTGTGCTTTTTCCAGTTAATATAGCACAAGATTTAGCCAGGCGTGGTGGCACACACCTGTAATCCCAGCACTCAGGAGCCTGAGGCAGGGGGATCCCTGCAAGTTCAAGGCTAGCCTGGTCTACATAGTGAGTTCAAAGCCAACCTGAACTACATAGTGAAATTCTGTCTCAAAAAACAAAAAAACAGAAACAAAACAAAAAAAGCACAAGATTATAGCCTACTTTATGTGTAAATGGATTTTCTTTCTTTCCTTCTTTTTTTCTTTTGAAACAGAATCTTGCTGTGTAATCTCAGCTGGCCTTGAACTTGCAAGGTAGCTCAGGTTGGCTCTGAATTCACCATCATCCTAGCTTAGCCTCTTAAGTTAATAGGTATGGGACCCAGGGCCTTTGCACTAAGCTATGTCCCCAGCCCCTATTTTTTATTATTTTTTTCCATTTTAAAACAAGATCTTGCTAAGTTGCCCAAGCTGGACTTGAACTTATGATCCTCCTGCCTCAGCTTCCCAGAATACTCAAGATTTCAAGCATGGGCCACCATGCTCAGCCTATATAATATTTGTTTTGGAGGGTATACTATAACATACCTCTTTATAGTCTGCTTTTGAACATGCAGTTTACTTTTCAAGTTTTTGTGCTAATAAATACTGCTGGGATGAGCATCTTTTTCCTGTGTCGGGGCTGTTTCCTTAGGACAGCTTTCCAGAAATGCATGTTCGATAAAACCTAAGAACATTATAGGGCTCTTGAAATACTTCCTCATGTCTTTCAGACTAGATTGTCTGAAGCAGAACTCTGCCTCTTTATACCATTTTTTTCTGCTCTAAAATAAGGTAGTAAATCAGAAACACACATCCAGCCCAGGCCTTGGTAGTTTAAAAAAGGAAGAGAGGTGGAGAACCTAGGCCTTAAAGAAGCTTGGCATTTTCAGGCTTCAGCTCTGCAGATCTCATTCATTCTTCAGGTCACAGGATTTGTAAGCGTGATGTTCTGCAGATGTCGTTGTGCATTTAACAGTCATACTCGGTGCTTTTGAAGTACATGGTATAGTTTACGGCACATCTGCATCTACAGTAGTATGTTTTTCCCTACAGTGCCCTATTTTATAGGTGACAAAGGAGAGGCTCAGAGCAGCTGGGAAGTTTACGTGGTGTCACACAGCTAGGAAACAGGTGTTGAAGGCAGCAGATCTGATGCCTCCTGCAGTGTGCTTTTCATAGTCCCTTAGCTGCCGCCGCCTACCGTCAGTCCAGCTCCTAGAGCCTTAGCATCACACAGTGAATGTCTGAAAGCTCTGGAGAGTCAGAGCTTTCCCTTGCTCTTCTCTACCCCTGTGTTGGCTCAAGTGTCTCCAGGCCCAGGAGCTGCCCTGGCAGGAAGGGGTTAGACTCTTTTGGAAACCTGTCTACTTGCGTAGACGTACTGCTGATCTTCAGCCAGCACCTGCCCTGCAGGCTGGGATGGGGGCTCCCTCGGCATCCAGGGCCACGTCTGAGAATTGGGCTTGCTCAAATTCAGTTTGAACTGGTGATGCATCTGCCTTCGTTTGGTGGGGTTGGGCAAGGAACCAAACAGCTCCAGTGACACATTTCAGGGGTGCTACCGTGTGAATCCTTCAGCGTGTACGCGCAGCCTGGGAGAGTTTCTGAGATTCTGTGTGGTGTCCTCTAAAGAAACAGGACTATTTTCAACAGATACATCACTCTGGTTCAATACTGTTCTTTCAGCATGCTGGTCACTTAGAGGGCAGCAGGATGGGTCAGGCCTCTCAGCTTAGGAGCCAAACAGCCTGGAAGTGGGCATTTTCCTGATCGCAGCTTAAATTCTTCCCTGTGCCTTTGCTTGGCTAGGGTTCCTCCCTCCTGGTAAGTTCTCATGGTGCTCTCCTTTTTTTTTGTCTTTTTGAGACAGGGCTTACTATGCAGTTCAGGCTGGCCTTGAGCTCACTTTGTAGCCCAGGCTGGTCTCAAACTTGTGATGCTCCTCCTGCTTCAGCCTCCTAAGTGCTGGGATTATAGGTGTGCACCATCAGGCCTGGCTCTACTTCTGTGATTACCGTAACTATTGCTTCTCTGCTGGACCGTGCCCCACCCCGACATCTCCATGCCTGGCCCATAGTAGATGCTCAAGAATCACTTGTTGAATGAGTGAGCCAACCAAAAGCAGCAGATCGGTGGCTTTCATCAGATCCTGGAAGGATGTGTAAACCAGAAAAGGTTTAGGAGAGAAGAACATGGGCTGTGGAATCCAAAAGACTTGGATACTGTTTCTGATTCTACCTTTAACTCTCTGAATGTTGAGAATAAGCCTCTTTAAGATTTGCATGTTAGAAGAAAACCACTTGCATGTTTTGTACCCACTTCTAGGCTAAGTACTTTATTCTCAGTCTGCAAACAACCCCTTGACGTAAGACAGTTGTTATCCCCACTTTACGGGTGAAGAAACTAAAGCAGGGAGGCAGTCAGTAGCTAGGAACAGCAGATACTCGGTTCTAACCCAAGAGAGCTCTGGGGTTGCCCTGTGACCACAAGGTTTTGCATCTCCGGGCCTGTTTCCTATGGAAAGGGCCAGGAGGTGGATGAAGGTACCCAGTGAGAAGGCTCATCTTCAGGACAGGTGGGTCATGAGTGCCCTGCTCGAGACAGGACCAGATCTATTGTGTTTACCGTGAGCCTGCTTTCTGGCGTAGTATAGGCTGTGCTGTGTGCACAGAAATTGTCTTGATGGGAGGAAGGCCAGAGCCTACTTGTGCCATTTGTTCCCATTACATGCTTGTGTTTTGGTTTTAAGTGGTTTAGGCTTGCACTTTAGGAGCTGCTATAGGAACTCAATCTCAGAAATAGTTAAAACCTTGTCCTTAGAGAGTAAGTTTGGACTTAAGAAACTGCTAAATGTGCATAGGCTTACAATTCTTGGATGATACTTTTGATGTGAGTTTAGTATCACAAAGTGTGGAGAAGGATTTTTTTTTTTCTTTTGCATTGCTGGGGGTTGAACCCATGGCCTGTGTATGCTGGGCAAGAGCTCTTCCATGGAGCTACACCCCCAGACTCAGACAGACTTTCTTTGAAAAAAATTTTTCAGACCTGTAAGTGGCCTCTGGAGAAGATTCCCAAAGAAGAGAACATATTTTGGGTTCCTAGATTATCTTCGGAATAAGCACAGTGCTTCTCGTCTAGTAACTACTTTTTTTTTTTTTTTTTT